AATGACCATTGTTCATGCTTAAGAGGTTAATCACTTGTGATATTTTCAATTCAAATTTAAATGGTTATTGCCCAGCAATAACATTTGAATTTAAACGCTACCATATTTCGGGCGCACATACACAACTCTTCTGTCAATTATTCTTCTGTGAACCATCACAATGGCACCAAAACTACTCTATATACAATGCTCATCCATTTCAAAATATGCATAAATAATATTGGCTTGACAAAGCGTAAACATTGATGGTACGCATGTCGTGTGATCAAACTTCACAGTTGAATGGCCTTCAAATTTCCCTTGCATCAGATCAATGATAAATATTTTATTCAACATGTATAAAATATTTTTGTTGTATTTTGATGGAGATGCGTCACCCATTCCAAATGATGGCATTAGCTTTTCATAACAAAGCCATGAACCTCGAAACATTTTCCTTGTATTTCGTAAGTTTCCTCCATATCATTAAGCAATGCTTGTCGTCCAATTATCTCATCGGAATGCGGTGATATGACAAAATTTAGCTTATTAGTTTCCAGTTTTTTGTTGGTTGGTTTTTAGCTAAAATTAAGAAAATGTTGTGCTTTATTTTGGCAAAAAAGGTGATTTTTTTTCTAAATTAGAATAATTTGATCGGTATTTTCCGGATGTTTCCCTCACTCTTTTTCGATCTCACACTCTATGTTTCTGTTTTATGTCTCGTTTTCTTTGATTTTCTGTTCGATGGTTTGCATACTACCAGCGAGCTTTATACGTGTTGTGTTGCCATTTGGTTCGTTTCGTTTGGCACGTCCGATGTCTTAACGATGTATGTGTTTCACATTTTCTAGAACAAAATTGAGCTTCTTGAGGCAATCTGATACATACCATGTACATGTGATTGCTTTAAGATGAGCGCGTATTGTATGACAACACAAACACTCATGCAATTCGTTCGTTAAGCAAGGACAACCAGTCTAGCTTTTTCGTTTTGGCTTCAACCGCTTAAGCGTGGTCGCACATAAGCGTTAAGCGCGTATTTGATAGCATCTCTCGCATGGTCGAGCCTGCTTCAATCTTTCCGGCATAAATGTATTGGTTGGTATGTGTGCACGTTTGCCCATGTACGTATACTTGTGCATCACTTTTTTAAAAGCGATATCGGACGTTTGATGCTTAAAATATTTTCAGCAGCACATTTTAAGTTATGAGTTGGTTTTTTGGTCTTGATAGTGTAACATCGTGTGTTAGTTGACGCATTCAGTAAGACTATTTTGCAATATTTTTTCCGTTTTTTTTTTCTTCTTTGCTACTTCTTCATTCCATTTAATTTTATTTAACAGTTGATATTGGTTACCATTTTGTTTATAACTGTAAATTATTATCATAATTGGTTGTTGTTTTAATTTAAATGTTGATCGGTTCACAAAGAATAATTCTAATAGATATTTTGAAATTGAATTGAAAATGAGGAAATAAATGAAATCGAAGAAAAACATAACAAATTGTACAATGAAAATATAAAACGATGATTAATTGTCGATCAGTGCTTAAATTGCATTTAATTGCCCATAAAAATTGAGTCCTTCTTTCGTCTTTGGCCCCAAAAAACTGGCTGAGAACCGTACACACTTGTACAGACAACAACAACAAAGCGTACGCCGCACATAACGGTGATTGATTTCGATTTCAGTTTCATCATTTTTGTTTTGAAAGTCATCGTCGAGAGTCAAAGTAAAATATTTCGAAAAGAAAACGAACAAATAAATAAAATGAAATCAATTTGATGGAAGGAATGAGAAGTTCAGTTGTTACTTTATTGCATTTTCGGTTTAAATTATATAATTATCGGATCAAGTCAAATGATGTATAACTAAACGTATTTCGAATTATTGCCGTGATATGTGTTTAAATGGTGAGCAAGCGCATAAACGTACACTTTGGTCAAGACACATGAAAAAACATGCGAGGAAAATAAACGAAACAGAAAAAAAAAACGTATCAGCAAAAAAATCAACAGCAGTAACGAAAACAAAAAAAGACGAAGCGCAAATCAAAACCTGTATGGTTGCATAGAGAAGTGCAGCAAACTTGTCGGCTGCACGCGCACACTCATACATGGTGTGCACTGTTGCCAGCTACTTTGGCACTTTATTTTTCTTGCGATTTATATACACATAGTATGGAATCGCAATATAAGTTAACATTCATTCAGTACATACACCGAAAATGAAAATGAATGAACGAATAAAAAAAATACATCTGCTGCTAATATACTCTCGATTTCGATTGATAGCCATGACCCACTTTCCTTCCTCCGAGTGTGTATCAATTTATTATTACGGTATTTTCAATAATTTACACATTTTTGTTCAATGGCTTGTATGATTATAATTTTTTTTTCCAATTCGTTAGTTGCCTTCTTTTTTCCATATTTTCATCGTCTTTTTTCCTCTTCGAAAAATCAAACTGTTTTTTTTTTTCTACTGTCTTTCTTTCGGTCGGTCAATGCATTTTCTTTGCGGCGGGAAGCACACATACACACACATGCACCGAACGAAAAAGAAACTCGCTTCGAAAACGACACAGTCAAAATACCGTGTGAGCGTGCGCGCTCGTTCGCGCCTGCAGTATATTGCATTTAAATAAATAATCTTGTATATTTAACGAGTCAAGTACATTGGTCTATTTGTTGAATGCTTGTTGAATCGAGACTGTTCTTTAGACACCGAAGTCATAGCAAATGGCAAGTGGGTCAAACATAAATGTTATGTCGTAATCATCAGCAATTTGGCTCGATGCGAATGTCCAAAGCGTTCTAATGCACCATTCTTGTGCTGTGTATCTTTTTACCATCTGGCATCGGATGATTTTGATCTTTCATCGCAATGGCTTATAAATTGGATGACATTCATGTTGTGTGCGCGCAGAATCAACAATCAAATTACTGTACAAAATAGATAAACATTCACTCACATACACTTGATCTCATTTGCATTTGCTTAAATGGCATCATTGCAATTTACAGCGGCAGATCATCCAATAAAAACAAACACAATAAAAATACTCAGTCAAACTTTAATTTTCCCGATTGAGTCAAGTGTTTTTTTTTTGTTGTATCAGGAAATGATTCTAATTTATTCCTATCAAATGTTTATCGTGTGTTGTTTTGCAACCGCAGTTAAAATGTGCATATTTGATTGAGTCACGTTTTTTTTACAAATCGCAATCGGTTGATTCATAGCATCATCATCCAAATATAGAAATTGAAAGATATCCGTGGTTTATTTCCATTGATTTTTCTCACGCTACTGTGAAAATTGAACTAGTACATAATGAAGACAAGACATTTTTTCTCTTCAATGCATTGCGTGAATTTTTCTGTAATGATTTTGCACCTGTTCCAGTGTTGACACTTACGCGTATGCGTACATCTTTTGTCACACGACTCATCGAATTAATTGAGTAAAAATTCGGCTAAAGCTTGTTTGGCATGTGTGTCATTCGGTCAAAGCTCATGTATATCCTCTTAAGGTAATGTCAAATACAAAATCGGCCACCGTGTGGAAAAAAAATCAAAAAAAAAAAATTATGGATATTTCACCACAACAAAGAATGCGGTAACACTGGTCCGCGAGGCGTCTGTGTTTTCCAAACAAAACAAATGGTATTGATGTTGTAAATTGGTCTCATTCTGCAAGCGTGTGAAGTGCTTTCGATCATTGATTCAAAAACTACGTAACAATTAACGATTTTATGTGACATGATCAAAAAGAAGTAAGGAAATCGAATCATCATGACTTGATATTAATCTTAAATTTGAATTGCTAATCTGTATTTGGTTGGTTTTTTCGATGAAATGTGTCGCATATAAACACGAAAAATCTCAATTTATGGAGAGAAATAGAGAGACATACAAAAAAAACGTTGAGCCAATAAATGTCGCACGATCGATAGCGTTGACGGTACAGAGCCAGAGAGTTATCATTAGAGACAAAGAGTGAGGGAAATCAAATCGATTCGGATTATCATTTGTTTTATTTTCGCTCCGAAATATCGTTGGGTCGAAAATATTTGTTCAAAATCGGTTGATCATAGAGCACCCGAGTCTATAGTGACAATAATAGGCATTGCCAAACTCATCTTATCTAACGAGCATTTAAAGGGCAACACGTTTTTTTGGATTTATCAATACAACGCAATGATTTTCTGATGACTCCAACGTGCGTAACGGTAATACTATTTCACTCTCTTTTTTTCTCGATAAAAATTTGATTTTTTTTTTTGTAAAAAGATCCAATAGTTTCGTGAATTTTGTGTGCATTAACAACGATGCCATTGGTATAATCGGTATGTTTATACAAAAGGCAACATATGTTACGATGGAATCCAATGAAATAAGAATGTCAATTGTGATTGCTCTAATCCAACCTTTTGATTCAAGTTCTACCAACAGTGCAAGCGACTCATTTATATAGATTTTTTTTATTATTGTTATTTATTTCCACGATCATGTTTCTTTCCTCTTCTTTTCACATCAATTCCGTTTTTTCGTCATTTTTTTCCCTCCACAAAATGCCATAAGATTCTAGTTGCTATGTTCAAGAAGTTTTATGTCATTTCAATTTTTTTTGCCATCGAGTTTTTTTTTCGTTGTTTTCGTCATACGAGAAGAAAATGATTTAAATGGAAGTTATAAGAATAACAGTAATAATGGCCAGTAAATAAATAAATAAAAAACGACTGCATATTTGGCATTCGACCATATCGAAATGTTGTATGTGTATGTGTGTGTGTGTGTGTCTAGTTGATGTGTACATTGACATAGCTTAGTATCATTTTGGTTCAGGTGTTGTGATGTGTATATGTGTTCATGCGTTTTTGCCTCGTCAAGGCCGCTCTTAAGCAGAATGATTTGTTGAGGTATATAGCATACGATACCGATTTGTACCATGCCATACCATACCACACCACATTCATGTTTAAAAACTTACCGTTGACGGTGTGTGGTTCAGTTGTTGTGCATTAAAAAAAAAATAATAATAACAAAATCTGTGATAAGTTCACCCAACACACACAAAAGCAACGAGCAACAAAAATTAGCTCTTTTCCGAAAAAATATCTATATGTGTATATACGAAAAAAAAAGTTACGAAAAGTAGTTATATTACCTGTACGTATGGGTTAATGGTGAAAACAAGTATACAACTGAAATTTAGCGTAAAGTATTTTATTTTTATTTTCTTTATTAGTATTTAATTTGCCTCCATTCGATTCAGTTTAAAAAAATGAACATGCTGGTGCAGTTCTGGTGCGCGGTTATTTTGCACATAATTTGTTTCTAGAAAAAGAATTTTCGTTTCGTAGGCAAAGAAAAAAAACTAAATTTTAATTGCAAATCTTCTCTCGAAAACAATTGCCGTCAAAAAATCGTTATTCTTTTTAAAAAGGGCAGAATAAATAAGAGAGCTATAATAAAAAAACAAATCGCCACATAAAGAGAACAATTGCGGTGTCCATATCATTTTTATAACATTCTCATAAGTTTCCTATTTTACGACTGAGACTTGCAATGCAGTCATTATACATCTTCACATCAAACATTGCGCTTTAGTTCAATTATATATGTAGAGAGGAGCAGTTACATACTCATCAATTTAACATTCTATTCATCTTATTATCATATATGTATTGTATTACTTTTTTTCTATATTGTTTTGTGTGTATGTTCTTTTTTAAATCTTGCAGAAACGAGTTTAACGCAGCGCAAAATTAAGTAAAACCAACGACGACGACAACGACAACCACAACAACATTTACTGCGACAGAAGCCTATTGAAGTGTTTCGTTTCGCGAATTTTCCTGAAAAGTGATTCTGAGAGTGGCATCGTCATTAACTTAACATACGTTAAAGCTGACACACTGATTTAACGCATACTGTGACAACAAAGCAAAATCCATTTTGTTGTTAAATTTTCTGTTTGTATTTATTTTTTTCATCATTGTTAAATCGGGCGCGCATTCATCTGCTTGCTCATCATATCGTTAAAATATTGCAATTGAATTGTTTTCTATCGCCACCGAACGACACACGGATTTTCCGAAAACCGACAGCGCCGAGTAAGAAAAAGAATTTAATTGTGAGACAAACTTTGTGTGTTGTGTGGTCAGTGCTCATCCAATCTGATAAACATTTGTCATTGATTTTCAGCCGTAAAAATTTTCCGTTTTGTTCATTGTTCATCGTTTCGCTATTCCTGTTAGAGCTTTATTATTGTTTTTCTTTCCGTTGTTGTTAAACATTTTAATTTTTTCGCAATTCGTTTGAGTGTTGTTGTTTTACAATCAACTCAATCTTAAATTCGACTTTGATTTGAGCTAATATGAAACAGTACTTGCTAGCTAACAAAGCGAAACAGTTCAGTGCATCCGAATTCAATTGACGAAACGGGCGGTAAATAATGTGCACAAAAATAAATTGAGAAATATGACAGTTGTTAAATTGCAAACATATTTTCTATAACGAAAAAGAAATATATTGGAATTAAAACCGTAGAGTAAACGCGACTGGGGAAGAATAAAAAAAAGAAGAAGTTTTTTTTATGTGCCAAAAAGTTCACAGCAATAAAATAAAAGTTCATTCTAAAACTATTTGTGAAATTAAATAAACGACAAAAGAGAAACACAATAAAAGAATAGAGATAAAATACCCTAGTGAATAAAACTGACGGTCGTGTGCTTAAAATAACGAATAAATTTCTTGCATATATATATTCGCGCATTGATTATTGGTTGCAATAAGGATAATTTACCATTAAAAAAATATCATCAAAATGACTGACGCCGGATTCGTGAAAATCGCCATGGATGAATTTTACTCGCACAATCCAAACAACTTAACCGGATTGGTTCAACGATATTGGATTATGGTCGAAGAAGAGGTGGCAGGTAATATCAGTACCATTCATTTTAATTTTTCTATTTATATTTTATTCTTACGGTCCATTCTTATATATTGATCATTACGATCATGCGCATAAGCTTGACCAGATCGAGCGCTTGACTGTTTGCCATTTTGCCATAAGTATAATATGCCAATAAAATTGCACTAACGATAAAAAAGACTGCATGGACACGCATGCATATAAATATATTCTCTTTTTTTACAGTGCTTTTACATTACAATTTATTGGTATTTTGTTTGTTTAAGCATATTCAATATCGATAAATTGGTATATATTTAAAATTATCATTTCGAATCTAGCGTAATCAAAAACGTAAAGCTCTATGATTGTATACATATAATTCTGTATTGAGGGTCGATTTTCCGTTGCATAACATGCATGCACATCCATAGAAAAATTCCATTGAAAGAAGAAGAATAACAACAACAACAATTTACAAAAGTAAAACAAAAAACTAAATGAACAGAAATAAATATACGCCAAATTCAGCGAACGGTAATTTAATTGTAATTGCTATCATGTCATGTATATTTGAAAAAAAGTTCGTTATATAGCAAATGGTAGACTAGAACTGAAATAAAAATACAAGCAGAAACAGCAGCATTGGCGCGCACAATGTTTTTTTATATGCTCGGTTGCGCAGATTCTTGATTTCATACGTTATTTGTAAGAAATATTTAAAAAAAAAATCGTTTCTTTGTGCGTGCGCGTGTTCGATCATTATTCCGACTCGTTCACTTACACGCACACATACAATCCACTCATAACGAGAACAAACGCATAAACGTGGCTATTTTCGGTGGCTATTTATGTGATGATGATAAATCAAATAAAATTCATATAACACATTATAAACGGTAGCATGTTATTTGCAATGCTTTGTGTGTGCGTGTGTGTTTTTATTTCTAAATCGAAATCAACACCAGAAAAGAAGCGCGCGCCAAGCATTTATAGTTTCGTTTACATTCTTTCGATCGAGATTTAACTATATGTTTATGTTAAATACGAGAATTGTTTGATTATTATTTTTGTTGGTTTTCAATTTTCTGTGTTTATTTTATTACTGTTGTTTTTGGTCTTTTTTTTCCATGATTATGTATTATTTCGAGACAAAAACATCCCGCGTCTAAATTGAGCATTCTTGATTTCAATAAAAAAAACCTTTATTTTCGAGTATCAACAAATTGTAATGTAAGCAAAAGTGTATGATTATATGATGATTATAACAATTTCTGAGTCATTGCCATTCCAACAAAGACGTACTCTGTGCATTCAATTTTCGATGTACATCAATGAAATAAAGACGAAAAAACACTCGCGCACACACACACACACACACACACACAACAAATTTGTGTGCTCAGAAACATTGAAATCTGATTCGGTGTCATCGTTATTTTCAAGATTTATTTTTTTCTCCTTCTCTCCGGCTTGCCGTGGATGTTTCTGTCGTCGTCGTCGTCGTCTTTCATATAACATAACAGACAATACCATTCTTTTAGCGCATTCTCCTCGCTCAATTACTGTGCCAATGATTATTTTTATGATTCGTGTTAATGCTACCGAACGCTATCACAAGAAGAAGAGAAGAAAAAATCATCAGCAGAGCGCTAACCATAAAGTGTCAAATAAAAAACATACCATAATAGACCACAATCTATGAAATGTATTTTTTTAAATCATTCGCTAGTTAGAAAATGTCATTCATAAAACTTTTTTTGTTATTATTTTGGTTGATGTTTATTGTTATTAATTTATGTAGATTACTATTACTTCTTAGTCAGAGTTGCTTCTGTTTGTGCGGTGCTTGAGGTTGTGTCGCATGTTTGTCGGTTTATTTTCGAATCACCGTATCAATTATGATGTTAAAAGACTAAGAGACAAAGAATTGCCATGTCTGATGTTGGATACGTTCTTGCATTTTGCTGTGACAGTCGTTCATGGTCATGCTAATTAAATTCGTAAGCCCAAAAAAAAATATTTTCAGTTTCTTTCTCTCTCGCTCAACAATTTTTTTTGGCAACTACTATTCAAGACAGAAAAAAAATTAAGTATCAAGTTCAACAAGTATAACAACAGATCATAATATGTGTAGTAAATTATATGTTGACTGAGTGAGACGAATGATGAACGAAAATGAAATGAAATATAGAAAAACTCGAATATTATCGCGACACACTGAGTGGTAATGTCGTCGTACCTATGTGTACAAGTTTACAGCAGCAATAATAGTAATCATAACAATAATAAACACGATGAGAAACAATGAAATTATAGCAACAATGAACATATGATTCAGCCCATTCAATTGTTTTGTTTGTTATTTCTGTGGCTGTGTGTGTGTTTGGTTTTTTGGTTTTGATGGGAAATGATCAGAGGTGTTCTATTTTAATTACCATTGTATACGTCAACATTTATTTAAAAGTTTCTGGAAATTTTAATGGACGATCATATAGATAGTGGCAAATTTATTTGCAAATGAATTGATTGCAAATGTGGGTAATAAAAATCGCACCAACAACATGCATATTATACGAGAAAGGTTAAATGCATTCTCCTCTTTCTTGATATGTCCGCTTGTTAATGCATGTGTGTGAACACGCGCGCTGCTGCACCAGCAATCAAATGTATTTGTGCATGGGATTTGGTGGCCAGCCCAGCCGGTTGGTGTGGCGATCAACAAGTGTGCAATGTGAACTTGTGTGCCTTTCGGTGATAATGGATATGATGCAAATTGAGAAAATGGCAAACAGTTCAAGTTTACAAAGTTATCACGTAATATACCTTGTGGTTGATATTGAAAATAATCTTGTTTTTCTCGTATTATTGTGTTTCTTTTTTATTTTGGTGTTTTATTTCGTCTCTCTTTCTCTTTGCAGATCCAAGAGCAAAATATTATATGTTCATGAATAATCCACTGCCAACCCTTGGAATGGTCGTCACATATTTATCATGGGTTTTGATCATCGGTCCCATTTATATGCGAGATAGAAAACCAATGGACATTAAAAATTTAATTATATTCTATAATGCATTCCAAGTAATTTTAAGTGCATACATGTTCTACGAGGTAAGTGTATAGCACAATGCACATCAATCGCTCCATTTATGCGGGTGTGAGTGTGTGGTTTCTATTTCACTTTTGATTTGTTCTCCATTCGAACGATCCATCCTCTTCATTACAATCACGATTGCGATGCGTTGTTGTCAATAATTTATTTTTCTTTTGGTCTCGATTTCAATTTCAATCCAATCCAATCCAAATGTCATTATCTTCCGCTATGATGGCTTGTTAATTCTATTGGAAATAGAAGAAGAAGAAGCCGAAGAAGAGATACGGTCTTGTCAACGACCTCGAAAAATGTATGACCCAAGTGAGCAATGAACGTTGCTCTTGAGCTATAAAACGATTATATTACTCTCCGTCTTCTTCTCCTTCTCTTCATGGTATTCAATTTTCCATTTTAATTTTTCCATCATTCTCTTGTCCCATTCCGTTTTTATCTTGTTTATGAATTCGTTTTTTTGTATAGTTTATTTGTAAACCAATTATCGATTTGAATCAATTCAAAAGACGTTGATATCTGTGCAACGTTGAAATCAATGTACTTTGTTTCATCGTAATTACACTCTTGAATTGATTCGTTGTTTTTCTTTGTGTACGTGCTTTTTAGCATCTAGCAGCTGGCTGGTGGAGAGATTATAGCTTGAGTTGTCAACCTGTGGACTATACTGATTCATATCAATCGAGAAGGGTAAGTAAATTTGCTATGTTTTTTCTTCCGCAATCGTTTTTTTTCTCTCGCATGATTCCGTGTCTAATATTGTTTCGAACGATTGTGCATTTCATTGTCAAGATGTGTAATGTATAAAAAAAATCCATTTTGTATATATACAGAAGATGATGTAAACGATAACCGAGATAGAAAGTTTTAGCCATCTTCATTCTAAGAGAAACAAAATTGAATCATCAGAAAGGCATGTTTCAACACCAAACGATACGATCAATCAGACTGATTCTTTTTCTCGGAACAAAAGCCAAAAAAGTTAAATATTTGCTTTGAGCATGACCATTAAATCGGTACCAAATCACTTAAAATAGGAAGAATCTTCTTTTTGTATTGTAAATTTGAATAGACTCATAATTCGCAAAATAATTGCGATCCAAGTACAAATCACATGCTAAATATGTTATTTGCCAATTTGGTTTTTACCGCTTCGCGTATGTATTTAAAGCCGAAAGTAAATAATATCGCACGCAAAAATGTAAACATAAATTATATTATACAATGCGATTGATGGAACTAAGATATTCTAAGCGAAACAGCAGCAACAATTACACGGCATTCGAAGGTCGTTCAATTCTTGCTATGTCTATCTTTCTATTTCCTTTCCGATGGAAATCATAAGCAATGGTGAATGGCAGTGGTAGAGTGGCTTGAGAAGAGTCCATCGCTTTTGTTGCTGGTGCACAACTCAACAGTGAGGCTAAAAATCTATAAGTTAAAAGGCAAAATTATATACATGTACTACAAGCAATCAAACTGTACATTTTCTTTCACTGAAAAAATCACCGTGAACTGAATAATCTACCAACCGCCTCACAACATGCGCGCAACCGTCACGCGAGCATCTAGATATGAGTTGAACATGGATTTTTGAATGCACGTAAAGTGCATTGATCGAATCAATTGCTTTTGGTGCCTTTTGATGGCGAATTAATTCTTCTGACGATCATAAAGAGGCGCGACAAAAAGGCAATTGGCATTTTCTTAAAATGGCATGTAGAAATCAATGTGTACGCGTTTCGCTTCTATATCTCACTTTCTCGGTTCTTTATATGTGCATGTACTTAATGTTTTCAATAAAGCTGTACAAAGTACCATCAATCATACACGTTCAATCTGGCGCGTATGTTTACACTGAAATCCCAATTTGTTGGCATGATTTATCTCGCACGAAGAACACGTTCGTTTGTGCGCGAGTGCACACCCACCTTGTCAAAGACCCGACGGCACACATCTCTCATTCAATTTTATCTTCATTTTGACCATTAGAATATATGATCGAGCTAATGTGTATGTTTATTACAATATTTCACGTTACATTGAAATCCATTTGTTTATTTAAGCATTATGTAATGTTTGTTGAATTTTGTGCAAATCCCCCCGTGTTTTAATTTTTCTGACATGTTTCTTGTTGTTGTTTTTTTTATTTCTATGTATTTTTGACGTCTTTTTCCCCATACTCTTGGTGCCGTATGTTTTGTATATTCTAGATGTTAAACTTGTGCTATGTGTATTATTTGTCAAAATTGACCGAATTTGCGGACACAATTTTCTTTGTACTGAAGAAAAAGAAGTCACAACTCACATGGTTGCACTTGTATCATCACTCATTGACCCCACTTGAAGCATGGATCTTAGTCAAATTTTTGTCAGGTAATGTATTATCGGTCAATAATAACCACAATTCGAGTTACCAGTTGTACGTAGTTGCGACTTAACGCCACATTAACATAACCAGAAATCGAAACCAAAAACTAAAAAGAAAATCATGAACACACACAAAAAAATGCAATTTAATGTAACCGGTATTAATCGAAAAACCAATCGCTTTTGGCGGGCGTTCTTTGACATTTTACAGGTGGAAATGCAACTTTCCCGAATATTTTGAATAAGTAAGTACACATCACATTGTAAATATCTTAATTTTTTCATTTTCTTTTGCGATCAGTTTTTTTCCGTCTTGCTTCTCACTCAATCTGTATCGATTAAGATAAATGGCATTAAATCTGATGTATTTGTCCTTTTGTTTTTTTATCTCAAATCATTTTCGTCTCGCAGCTTCGTTCACATCTGTATGTACAGCTATTATATGCTATCAGCAATGGGGCCTCAGTACCAAAAATACTTGTGGTGGAAAAAGTATATGACCGAATTGCAAATTGTAAGTAATATTTTTGTATATCAATGTCCATGTCAATATTGTTGTGGTTTTTCTTCGGCACACACACACACACACACACACACACACACACACACACACACACAC